GAATTTGCTGGCGTGGTGTGCATGCAATGACCCGATCCAGTTCCCATTCAATCACCCCAACCATACGTGCAAGAGGGAGGATGAATTCTTCATTGTTCTCACTGGGGTTAACAGATTGTATACGTGAAAGGTCATTTGATGTTTTTAGAACCAGGACAGTATGAAAGGGTGAACTGGAATCAGGTGAAGAATAAAGACCCAAGAGCTTGCCTGGAGTTTAATCTTTTGGCGGTACTCAGATAGTCTAGATTCTAGATATTCTTGAGTCGAGCCAAGAATCGAGCCCCTCAAGCCAGTGTCATCACTCTTCTAGGGCAAGTTTAACAGCCAATAATTCTCGGTTGCCCACATCATAGTTCCACTCTCCACTCTGAATTTCCATGAAAAGAAAGCCACGAGGTGAAGCTTAGGTCTGTCCCCTAAACAGAGAGCACAACACCTACCATGTTCTCTGAGGCATCTATCTCTACAATAAAGTGCTTAGCTTGGTCTGGATGTTTGAGTATGTAAGCTGTGGTGAAGGCGGTTTTGAGTTGGTTCAAGGTTTCATCTGCAGCTGAATTCCATGCCAGGAGCCTGGGTTTTCCACAGAGAAGGGAGGTTAAGGGGTAAGCAGTGGAACTGAATCCTTATATAAAGCACCAGTAGAAGTTGGCAAAGCCCATGAACCTTTTGATGGTTTTGGGTGTGGGCAGCATAATATACATTCTCAATACAGCAGCGTAAAAAAAACAATAATGAATTTTCACAGCATCACAGATTTTGTCCAGTTTAATTGGGGCAATACATATGCACATAATTTAAAGGGACGTTCCTTACCATGTATGGCAATTTTGTGGGCATTTCTTTATGTAAATGAGTCCACACAAGTAGAGCAATTTAGTAATTTAGTGTAGGATTTACCATTGTGTGCAGCTATGAGTATGCACGTGTGATAAATGGCAATTTTCTAGTGTGTACTGGAGGTTCTGGTGGGAACTGCCTATAAAAATATTCCATTACACTGCAGCCCGTTTATTATCAGTTTGGTTCTATTTTTATTCTAGTCTCTGCCTTCTGTCATTATTTTACATCCTAAATGGTTATAGCTATGCATGTAACCTTCATTACTTTATCTATTTCTTCTTTTCCTCTCTATTTTAATTGTTCTTCTGGTGTACAGTCCCACACTTTATTTAATGTATTTTGTATTTCATGTCTTTCATTTGTATTTCATGTCATTAAAGGCCGTGTCTGTCTGTTTCATCACTTCTGCCTTTTAAAGTATTGACTTTGATTATACTTTAATTAACATGCTCAGCACAATCATTTGCTTTGAATTTGTGACAATACTGGAAAATGAGAAAAAAAACAACAAAATAAAAGAGAAAATAAACAGATCCGAATCCTGGCTAGCCATAAATCCACAATTTTCTTTTTAAAGAAATGATCAGGTATTCATCTATACTAAGAGGGAAAACTGTTAGCACAGGGAGCTTGAAGTATCTACTGTTGATGAAATTGTTTTGCAGCATTTCTATAGAATCCAAAGATAACACAGTTGATATATAACCTCATATGTGCTTTCATTACTGGCATTGGCTTGTGCTTTTGTGTAATTACCATTCCACAACCCAGCTCTGCACAGACTTTAATTGTAAGACATTTATACACACAAAACACATTACACTCTCACACACTGCTAATGAGCACTGCCAGTAATTGGCACAATGTATTTTGTTCTTCTCTTGTTAATTCTGGAGTCTTGATTGATTTTGCATCACTCTGCCCTGTAACACCAGTTTACTTATAAAACATTCAAGACACAGATTGAAGATGTATGAGTATGTATGTGCATGCGTGTATGGAAGACTGCTGTATGGTTACAAATAAATCCATTGCCTGTCAAGTTGTTCTGTATTACCTTTACAGTCCAAGCACAAGGACAAAAATCAGTAACAGTGAGTTTGTTCTCTATATTAGCTTTTAATTTTTCCATATCTGTCATTGAAAAGAAAAACACTTTTTGGTGTCTAACTGTTACATGCTTGATGTTAAAGAGGGATGATTCCGTAACATTTAAGTGAGACAGTTGTTACTGGGTGTGGAACAGGTCACAGATGACACTGAAAAGTAGTACGTTTCAGAAGACTTTACTGAACGCGTTGTGTGGAAGTGTACAAATAATTATTAAGTGAAAAATGAAATTTAGCACAAAAAAAACGAGTGTCACCCAAATCAAAGAAATAAACAAAACAAAAACAATCCTTATAACTAACCTAAACTAACTAACAAAAAAAAGAAATATAAACCGAGATCTTCGGCATATACGACGCCCTAAACTAAAAACAAAAGTACAAGGGTACAAGAGTACAAGCCTTGTCATCACTCCATTACATATTCAGCAGACAAGAGCCAATTTCAGAATACTGGGATTGGAATTTAACCTAATTTCCCAGTGTCAGGTACAGGAACATTTTTGCGTATGTAGGAAATTCTTCATACCAAATGGAGCAAGTGCATAGACATTACTGACACAGTAATTTAATTAACTGGATCAATGTACAAGGCAAAGGAGTGAACATACCAGCATGAGTCACAATATATACATGCATTAGGCATAAGAAGTCAGGTAACACTATTTATTATTGTCTCTCCTCTATTCTCCCCCCTTGTTTTCCCCCTTTTCTTCTTATATATATATATATATATACACATATGGACAGTTATCATGGCATCTGTTTGTATATAGTTCAATGGAGTTTTTATTTATTTTCTTAATGTGGGAATCCAAACTCAATAAAAAAGTTGATCACAAAAAAAGAAGACAGGTAACAATTGCAAACAAAAGACATTTCACATTATATTAATTTCTGTGTGTGAAGTAAACTCGGTAAATGTCAGTTGTGTAGTGTAGGCTGTGTAACATCAGCATTGATTACAGCCCCATGTTTCATCTGAAGTGGGGTGTTTCCAGAGAATGATGCTTCAGCAGAAAAATGATATTATGAAAAGAATCGTTTATGTAGCGTTTAGTTTTGCTTTTGAGTGCCCCAAAGCATTTTCTGGAAGAGAGGTTTAGGAATAAGTGAAGTCCAGGGAGGAAGGAATTATTAAGGAAAACAATAATCCTAGTGGCCTGATTTAAATTGCTACAGCTCTGAGAGGGATTGAAAGTTGCAGTGGATTGCTTTCTCAGTCTATCTCAACTTGATAATACCCCAGAGTTCTTTTTGGGATTGTGCAGTACTGGATCCTGCTTTTGATGATTGACCTATAGAACTGTTGTGCAGTGTTGAGTTTCTTTGTCTCAAGAAATGCATCCACTTTTGTGCTTTGATTGTGATAGAAATGAAAAGATCTTCTGAAAGCCTGGAATGTTTATGGTTGTTCTTGCTTGTGTGAACCCCTTGCCTAATTAACATATGACTGTGTGCTTTCTGGTCTAGTGTTGGAAAATCCTTGTTTCATTTTATTGATCATTGTGACCATTTAGAGATGGCATGCACAGTTTATATCTTGGTATATCATCCTGTTTCAGGTGGTGAGGAAAATCCACACTCTATCCTTTCACCTAAGGCTTCTAAGCACTCTTTTCTGTGTTTCACAGCCCCCTTCTGAAATCATTCTTACATTTCACATTTATACACATTTGGCTGACATTTTTATCCCAAGCGACTGGATACAGGGGAGTTGGAGTTGAGGGTTAAGGGTCTTGCTCAAGGGACCAGTAGAGGCAGCTTGGCCACTTCCAGTCAGCCAACCACTGACTGTCACCTACAACAATTCTGCAGTCATTTTTGTTTGGTTTCATGGGGCTCTGTGTGCATGGCATCAACAACATTCCCCAGACTGGTGGAATGCTCATGGCAACATGCCTCAACCATGACAATCATCAATAGTCAGGTGGAAGATGGGGTCACAGGGCATAACAGCTGTATGCTTGAGCTTGGTGCATTCATGCTTATTCTTCTCTTGGAAGAGAAGTCTCTTGGACTAAGTTTCAATTGAGGGACTTACCCATTTTATCTTTGTAAAATATTTGAACTTGCCTCGTGGTGCAAAAGTAACTTCAGATGACAGGCATATTATGCCAACAGCAGCCAACAGTGTGAGCTTTCACCATGTGAAAAAATTTCACATTTTTAAGAGTTGACACTCCCAGATGCCCTTTAGCACTAGGCAATTTATACACTTAACACTCCGTTTAAATAGACTAATGAACAGATGGTTACATTGGAGCTATAATATGAAAACCTGAAAATGAATAGACTATCCTCCCAGCTATCTTAAGATGCATACCTCCAGTCCTCAGACTGGAAGATCTGTTATCTGTTAGAATAATCTACTTCCTAATCTTGTGATACTTGTCCCTGAAGATCTGGAGGTTTATCATGACCTATGTTTGGATGTTAGCAAGACCAAGTCAACTCTACCTCCTTATAAATTGCTCAAATGCCCTGTAGGCATGTGGTTGGCAGCTAGGCCACTACATGATCACCACAGTATTCCACAGACAAAGGCTTTGGAAGATGATATTAGTGAGGCAATTCAGAATGGACTGATAAGTCCTACTTCACATCAATTGGCTGGCTTTTTCTTTGTTCATAAGAAAGATGGAGGGCTATACTTATGTATTAAATACTCAGGGCTCAAAACAACTGCAAATATGTAAGTAAATGTCGATTCCAGCTGTATTCAACCTGCTGCAAAGCCAGTTGCCACTCTGAGTATAGTATGGTGCCTTTTCTGCACTCTAAATGACCTGCTGAAGGATTGCATCTAAATGTATAGTTTTCAAAGAGGTTCATCCATCCATTTTCTGTACCGCTTATCATACACAGGGTCACAGGGAGCCTGGAGCCTCAGGGACTCAGGGCACAAGGCAGGGACAACCCATCACAGTGTCACACTTACAATTTAGAGATGCCAATCAGTCTACAACGCATGTCTTTGGACTGGAGGAGTACCCAGAGGAAACCCCAGAAGCACGGGGAGAACATGCAAACTCTGCACACAATGGGTGGAGGTGGGAATTGATCCCCCAACCTTTGAGGTGCAAGGCAAACATGATAGCCACTAAGCCACTAAGCCACCATGCCCCCCCAGTTTTCAAAGATGTGCAAAAACATGTTCTTAATGCTAAGCTAGAGATGAGTTTCATGTATCCCAAACCCCTGAAAGACTGGCAAGGTGCAAAATGTTTGTCAGGCATTGCTTCTGATGGTCTCACATGACAGAGGATATGTCTGCACATGTTCCATCTGCACAGCCCATAAAGCTTTCATTCAGGCCCCAGCAAGTCTTCTCCAAACCCTACCAGTACCCTTCGACCCCACATCTTCATGGACTTTGTGACAGGTCTTCCATGTCTGTAGTTAACTCCATTATATTTGCCATTCTTATTTTTTCAAAGGCCTCTTACTTTGTACTATTATCTAAAGAAGTGGTGAGATATCATGGATCATAGCCCACAGTTTGCCATCAGCTACTGGCAAACCTTTTGGTCATATTTACTATCCCTATTAGCCTCTCTCCATATTACTACCCCCAGAACAAATACATAACCCATAACCTGAGAAATGCCTGCTTTGTTTTGCTCTGGCAGCTTTGAGACCTGGGTATTTATGCAACCAATTGGTCAGCTCTTTGAAGAGCATTTTCTTCTGGGGTCCAGTACAGACTCAAAGCTTAATCCTTTCTAAGTCAGCAGACCTTAACTATGACTTTCATCTGGAGCATTTGGATCACCTGGGGCTGCTTTTTTTGGATCAATCTTGGCTCTTAGCTTGAGCTTGACATATTCATGCTGATTCTTCCGCCAATGTCTTGGATTAAGGTTTGGCTTGTTTGATGTTTACATAATATTTGCACTTTGAACTTGCTTGGTGGATTGAAATACCCATTTCTGGGACAGTGTTTGGAGTCGCTCATTTATGAAACTCCTCATTTTGTGGGATTATTACCCAGCAATGCTCTTGAGAACTACTTACCAGGTGGTTGCATTCAATGAACTATGAAACTTGCTCATCTTCTGTGGATTTTCTTAATGGACTTTGCAATGACTTTTTCTGTCACTAAGAACTTTGTGCCTTGCAAACATCCTTGTATATATTGTTCTGTTATGACATCTAAGCTAATTTAAGTTTGCTTTCATTCTGTGTGGTACTTTTGGTTTACTAGAGGCACCTCTCAGTTTTAATTGCATTATCTGCAAGTGTATTCTATGCTATCCTTCATGACAAGTCAGGCCAGCACAGAACACTGACTGTGACATTCCATAAACTGTCAACACAGAGTCCTGAATAGAAGCTGAGGCTAGAAAATGAAGGGTGGCAATGAGCTCTGTCAATGCACAGCCCTTTAGCAAGGCCCTTAACCCTCTATTGACTGTGAATAGAACTGTTTGTGTTTGTGTCTTAAGAAGCTATGTACTAAGAAACACTGTTCATATGCCCTGTCTTCTTTTAATATGTTTTATAATAATAAAATAAAAACAAAACTAATGCAAAAAAAAAATGTGGAGTGTCAGTGCAGTGTGCATAAAAGTGCTTCTAGTCCAGTTACTGTAATTGATTTAAAACATTGTTAAAAAAAAATCTATTGATTCAGGTTTGGCACAGTTAAGATCTAAGTATGCCAAACCTGTAGGCCAAAGCAAAAGTGCAACGTAGACACAAAAAATGAGAATAGATGAGCTTAAAATATAATATAATTATTTAGTGTCATTTTTTTCCTTTTAAAGAAAAGACAGCATTATTGTACAAATATGTACTGAGGTGATTTGATAATTAAAAACAACATTCTCTGAGGGAATCAAAATGTGCCACCAATACCAGAAATGAATAACTTGAAATTTGAAAATGTTATTATTATAGTATATTATGGCATCTAGAAACTTTAGAAAGGACCTTTTCCCCTATGTTTATTAGTGTGGGTGTGTGTTTGAGTGTAGATATGCTGCATACAGCAGATTAAGTTTTGTTTCTGTTCTCCTGGTATGACTGTGACTCATCTAGATAAATTCTCTGTGAATGATTTAAATACAGAATGTCATACGGAGGTTAAAAATGGCAGTAACCTTGAACGATGTGCTTTGACATAGCAGCATGAATGTGTGAGTGTGGAAATGTCTCTGAAGGTGCATTTGCATGCTGTGTTCCATGTGCAGGAGAGTGACTGCCTGTCTTTCTTTTTATGTTTTGTCTATTTTATATTCTATACTATATTCTGTGTTTTTTTCAAATAAAAAAAAAAGATCACAATCCAGCTGCATAGCGAGTAGGCCGAGATAAATTATAATCCAAAATGGGGTAAAAAGGCAAGGGTCTGAAACCTGGGATAGGCAGAAGTAGGAAATACTTAAAAACACATAAATCAGGGATAGAACTTAATGAAACAAAAGCATGATAATATTTCCTAATGAGACATTGACACAACCAGATAGAAATAGACAAACTAATCAGAAGTAAAAAACAGTACAGGTGAACACAGTCAGGCAACAAACCAATGACAGGGCAG